TTAAAAGTTTTCATTCCCATTTCTTTTTCTCACTGTGGCCTTGTTCGATTCTGGCCCTTGATTCCTCTGCCTGTCACTCCTCTTAGACCCCTTTCTCTCATTTGTTCTTGTCCTCAATTTCCCTTCCACTGACTCCTTGCCTAGGTTCCTACCTTCCCCCCTGCCAACTTAGTTTCAATCCTTTCAATCACTCTAGCAAATACTCCCCCGGGGAGCAGTCTCACTCCCGCCCAGGTGCAACCCATCCAGTTGTCCTGGTCTCACCTCCCCCAGAACTGGTCCAAATGGCCCAGGAATCCGAAACCCTCCCCTCTCAAACCATTTCAATAGCCATGTAGTCATCCAATGTATCCTGCTATTTCTACTCTGACTAGCACGTGGCACTGGTAGTAATCCTGAGATCACTACTTACGAAGTGCTCCTTTTCAGCTTGCTTTCTAACACTCCATATTCTACTCCGAGGGCCTCATCTCCATTTACCTATATCATTGGTAATGTATACCAATGTGTATGAATGGGTCCCGTGACATCTGGCTGTTCATCCTCCCCTCGAGGATGTCCTGTAGCTGCTGAGACATCCTTGATCCTAGCACCAGGAAGGCAACATACAATCCTGGAATCTCACTTGCAGCAACAAAATTACCTATCTATTCCCCTTAAAACTGAATCCACTTTAACTATTGCACTGCCACATTTTTTTGCTCCTCTTGTCCAGCAGAGCCAACCATGACACCATGAATTTGCTATTGCTTTTCTACCCCCCGCCACTGAGAGGTCATTTCTGTCAACAGTATTCAAAGTCGTATATCTGTTTTTCAGGGGAATAGCCACTGCCCGCTTAGTCCCCTTACTTTGTCTCACGGCCACCAATTCCCTTTCTACCTATGCAATCTCAGCCTGCAGCGTTGCCAGCTGCCATTCCACTTCCAAAAACCAGGTTTTCAGGTGCTGAAGCTGGAGACATTTCCTGCACATATGCTGGTTCCAGGCACTGGAAATGTTCCTGGCTTGCAACATAGAACAGGAGGAGCACACCACGACTTTCAACTCTCCTGCAATCACTTACCCATTTAAACCTTTTGGAAGATACTCAATATTAATTTCTCTAGGGTCATTCTTTCCTATTCCTTGTTACTAAAAGATAGAGTCCTTGGAAATTATAAACCACAAAAAGACCTTAGAAACTACGTGCGAGAAAAGTTGTAAATATTTAACTGACCTTACCTACTACTTGCCAATCAGCTCTCTCTCTTTGTGGCGCTACTCCTACAATAGGGCAAGACCACTCTAGTTTTTGGGGATTTCACTCCTTGTTTCTTCCTGAAGAGCAAGACACCCTTCCCAGCCTGCTTCAATGATGCCAACTGAGAGGACACTCTTCCCAGACTACATCAAGGCAATGCCTACTGCAAAGACACTCTTCTCAGACAAGCCAAAAGGATCAGTGCAGCAAACATTGAACCATAACTGCCTTCCCAGTCTTCCCATATATCCACCAGACCAATATTTTCTACATCTATGCCTGTGTGTAAGGAGAGTTTTAACAAATAGAATTCTACATCAAGAGTTCATAATTGTTTACCTGTAGCTAGAATCTATTTATTTGTTATAAATAGCAATTAGGTTCATAAACCTACTCTTTGATTCATGTCAAAAGACAGGTACATTGTGGAATTTAGTGTACTTTTATAAAAAATCTTTTTGTTGATTGCAGGAATAGTAGGACTTGGTTTCTTGTAGGCTGCCCCAGTGAGGTGTAACAGAAGAGAGATATGAAGATCAAAAGCAGGTAAATTATGACAAGCCTGGATGCCAAAATTAGAGTATTGTGTCAATCCTGTTAGCCTTCAGAATGGTTGTCAGTGTAACCTGACAGCAGGTGAAGAGACTTACCACAAAAGATCCAGAGATCAGATCTCCATGCTAGTAAGTTAGGTTGGAGAAACTGGATTTGCTCTTTCTGGAGCAAAGTCGTTTGAGGGGAAATTTGAAAAAGTGCACAAGAAGACCGCTTAGCTTCATTAGACAAAGAAAAATAGTTTCTATTCGTTTTTTGGTATAAGGATTTATTGTTTTTGGCCAGAAGTGCAGAGGGATGCAAGGAGAATATTTCTGGTGGAAACAGTGGTGATAAATAATTTCAGAAGCAAACCGGATGGACTGTATCCTCTACAGACAGCTGATATGTACTCGCTGGGCTGAACAAACTTCTCCTATGCTGTAATAAGTCTATTAGAGGGGGCTGGTTAGTTCACTTGGCTCAGCAACTATTTGTGATGCTGAATGATGCCAACAGTGCAGGTTCAACTGTGCAGATCAAATTTCAAGGGAAATGGAGTGCTCGATTTCTCCACAAAACTCTTGCTCTGGTACATCGATTACATTATCAGTGCTAGTAGGAACTGCAGATGCTGCAGAATCTGAGATAACAAGGTGTAGAGCTGGATGAACACAGCAGGCCAAGCAGCATCAGAGGAGCAGGAAGGCTGATGTTTTGGGCCTAGACTCTTCTTCAGAAAAAAACCTTCTGCGGGCAGGCCTCAGAAATGTCGATCCCCATCACTGTGGTTGACAGGCCCCTCAGCCATGTCTGACCCATTTCCCACACTTATGCCCTCGCCCGTACTTTTTCTTCCCACTTACCGATGGGGAACCCGATCCTCATTTTCCAACATCCACACCTAAAGCGTCATAAGCAACCATTTCTGCCACCTCCAGTGGGATGCCAACATCAGACACTTCCCTTTGTCAGCCTTCCGCAAGGACCATGCCTTCCAGGACACCCTTGTCCACTCCTCCTCCACTCCCAATACGGCACCTTTTCATGCAATCATAGAAGGTGCAACACCTGCCCATTTACTTCCTCGCTCCTCACTATCCAAGGCCACAGACACATCTTCCAGACAAAACAGCAATTTATTCAGTCTAGTTTATTGTATTCGCTGCTCACAATGTTTCTTCTGCACTGAGATGAAACACAAGTTGGGATATCACTTTGTGGAACACCCACATTCTGTATGCAAAAACAACCCTGAATTTCCAGGCACCTGCCACTTCAGTGCACCACCATGCTCAGTGGCCAACATGTGTGTCTTGGGCAAGGCTCTGGCAAGGCTGGAAGAACAGCATCTCATTTTCCACTTCGGTACACTACAGCCTTAAGGACTTAATACCGAGTTCAATACTTTTAGGGCCTGAACACCTTCCACATTCTTTCACGGCCCCCACATCCAAGCCTCGTCATCACATGGGCTGTTGTCATCACAGCCAACCCATTTTCACCTGATGTTCTCCATTTGCAGATTTTCTTTCTCCCTAAATAAAAACAGAAAGAACTGCAGATGCTGTAAATCAGGAACAAAAACAGAAGTTGCTGGAAAAGCTCAGCAGGTCTGGCAGCATCTGTGAAGAGAAATTCAGAGTTAACGTTTCAGATCCAGCAACCCTTCCTCAGCATCATGGAAAGCATCATATCCAGATACATCACAGCTTTGTATGGCAACTGCTCTGCCCAAGACCACAAGCAACTGCAGTGAGTTGTGAACTCAGTCCATAAATGTAAATGAAAATGTTCCGCCCAAACTGTATTGACTAAATGGCTTCATTGTATTGAATATTAAACAGAGACTAATTGAAGTGGATGAATTTAAAATATAACTGAGTTCCACTGCGTTATGGTTAATTACTATTAGTTTGATATTTAAATTCAAACTAAGTCATTGCAGTTTATTCATAATCCAAAGTTATTTCATACAAATTATTGGATTATGCACACTGCAGTGTCAGCAGGTATCACCGTTAATTTAGTTAAATTTGTCACATTAGGTTAATAGCCTCCTTCGTTGAATATTATGCTGAGATTTTAGTTAATGACACATTGGAGCAGTAATTAATTTTTAAAAGAACATGGAAGAGTTCGTTAAGGAAGACATAATACTGTGATTTTTGAAGTGCATTTTTATCAAAATCGACATTGTGTTACAAAAAAAATTAACATTGGATACAGCAAATGTAGAATACTTGGGATTTCCACAAGGTATTTAATAAGATACCACACAAAAATAAATAACATGCAAGCTAAGGATTCATGGAATTGGCAGCAGTATTACTATGAACGAGCGATTGGTTGATGGACAGAGAAATAGAGATGAACGCAGTGCATAAAGCTGGCAGGCTGTGATTAGTGGAGTGTTACAAAGATCATTGCTGGAGCCTCAGCTATTTACCAATCTGTATTAACTATTGAATATAGCTCTGGACTCAATTACCTTAAAAAGATTGCCTGCACCCAACAATATAAAGCCCTAATTAGAACATAGGAACAGGAGTTATGCCATTCAGCCCCATGAACCTGTTCCACTCTTCAATGAGATCATGGGTAGTCTGTGGTCTAACTCCATATACCTGCCTTTGGCTCATATCTATTAATATCTTTGCCTAACAAAAATCTCTCTCTCAGATTTAAAATTAACCACTGATCCAGCTTTTATTCTGTTTGTGGAAGACAGTTTAAACATCTATCACCCTCTGTGTGTTGAAGTTCTTCCTAACATCTCTCCTGAACGGTCAGGCCCTAATTCTCAAACTATGCTCCCTAGCTCAAGAATCCTCAAGCAGTGGAAATAGTTTATGTACTGTCTTTTCCTGTTAATATCTTGAAGATAGCAATCTGTAGAAGCACAAACATCACAAAGACAGAAGTTCATAGGTTGATCCACATCAACAATAAATGTGACACACATCACTACAATGTTGGGGCTATTTTCCTATTCTGTCAGTCCATTAACACATTTCCTATACTCATGTTTTCATTTTACTCAGTATGAATTTTCCATGCAGTTTTTTTTCAGAATTTACTGTTGAACAATAATTGATTAATTCTTTCTACAGGTGCCTTTGAAGTGCCCAACTCCTGGTTCTCAACAAAATCACACCTTTGAAATTGTTGACTTTTCAAGATAAGATAGCTCCATCCCCAACCAGAAAGCACTGATACTCACATTTGATATTGAAAGATGCGGCTGCTGTTTTAGCTTCTTCTCCAGTGACTGTATTCCGTGCTATGCACTGAAAGTCTCCACTGTCCTCTCTCCGATCAACTGCGGTAAATTGCAGATTGCTGCCTTCAATGAAGCGTCTCTCAGAAGTCTTCACAGGCTTTCCATTTAGCAACCACTCAAAAACAACATTTGTTGGAAACTCAACCTCACAACGGAGTATTGCACTGCGCCCATGCAAAGCATCCTGGGAGTAGGGCTCCTTGGTGAATAGAATTATCGCCTGTGTATAGCACGCTGGGGGGAGAAAAGACAAGAGTTGTTCCTTATTATATATTCACCCATCCCAGAGACTAGTTCAAGACAACAAAGGGGAGGCAAGGAGAAAAAAAAAGGGGTGGGGGGGGGGGGGGGCGCGCGGGAAAGTATGCAGATAGGAAATAGGGGTGGAGGAGGGTACGGAGTTGTGCAGACAGGCTGAAGGAATGGAGAAGCACACAAAACAGAGGTAGTGGAAGGGAGGGGGTAGGGGAGGGAGAGGGAGGGAGAGCCTATGCTGTAACCATTCTACCGTTTTATATGGCATAAAATATTTTCATTCACATATTCCACAACAACTCTTATGCTTTGCCGCACTTGTCCCATGTGGCAAATCCAGCAACATGAGACTTAGCATATGCAATACAATAAAATTCCATTTGCTACTGGTTTCGCTGTGAATATTTTCCTGTTTGAAGGTGGGTATACAAGCCAGCAATTGAACTTTATATTTCTGATATGATAACTAAATCCCATTTCACCACAGCAAAGACAAATGAATTGATGTACAAGGCATTCAAACCTACTCACAGCAATAATGCAATCGAAAACAATTCAATTTATTAGGAACAGGACTAACCCCTTGACCCCACTCCACCATTCAATAAGGCATGGCTGATCTGTGGCCTAACTGCATATGCCTGCCTTAGACCAATATCCCTTGATGCTCAGGATTACTAAAAATTTGTCTCTCCAAATTTAGATGTACAATTGAATAATCATCAACCACCTTTTGAGGAAGCGAGTTCCAAACGTCCTCTACTCTTTGCATTTAGAAATGCTTGCTAACATCTCTCAAATGGCCTGGCCCTAATTCTTAGACTTTGTCCCTGGTTCTAGAAACTTCAACCAGTGGAAACAGTTTCTTTATCTACACTGTATTTTCCTGCTAATAGGCTTAAGGCCTTGATTAGATCACTGCTTAAACTTTAAATTCTAGAGAAAAAAAGCTTAATTTGTCTAATATCTCCTCCTAGCCTAACCCCTGAAGTCCAGACATCATTCTTACAAACCTGTGTTTAACTCCCTCCAGAGCCAAAATACCCTAACACCCCAAAGGTGTGATGATCAGATCTGCTTACAGTACTTTAGGTGGAGTCTCATTAAGGCTTTGTATAACTGCAGCATAGCATCTGCATCCTTATACTCCAGCACTTTGAGATAAAGGTGAGCACTCCATTAGCCTTCGTGACTATTTTCTGCACCGATTCATGACATTTTAAAGAGCTACACAGCTGAACCTCCAAATGTCATTGTTCACCCAAATACCCTGATACATCCTTTCTTGGTTCAAAATGGATAACCTCACTTACTCATTAAAATCCAGCTGCCACAGCTTTGTCCTTTCACTTAAATTATCAATATCCTATTGTAATTTTATGCTTTCATCAACACTGTCTACAATGTTGACCAATTGTGTCATCAAATTTGGATATTTGACATTTTATGCCATTAGGTCATTAATGGATATTGTGAATAATTGAGGTCCCAACACAGATCTCTGCAGTACACCACTAGATAGATAGATAGAAATTTATTGTTACTTGCATTTGTGAAAATACAGTAAAATATGTATTAGTCACCACGGAGTCATTTTAATACATAAATTACATATACAAAAAACAGACAAAGTAAAGATAAATATAACTTTTTGATCATTCCATGGCTTCTTGGTTTCACAAACCAGTCACTGCCAAAGACTGGAGGCCTGTCCAACTGCCAAGGACCAGGTCATGTCCTACCAATTTGAGTACTTACCCATTATTCCAACTTTCTGTTTCCTGCCACTCAACCAAGTTTCCCATCCATGTCAATAATTTGTTCTCAATTCCAATGAGCTGCCACCTTAGCTAACAGTCTAATATGAGACTTTATCAAAAACATTTTTGAAGTCCAAATAAAGAACATCCATCGATTTACCTCCTCCACCACCTTTGCGACCTGACAAACTCGAGGTTTGTCAGGCATGACCTACCCTTCATGAACACATGCAGACTCTCCCTGATTAATTGAATTTTTTTTTTTGAGGTGATCAGTTGCCTGATCATTGATTATAGACTCCAACAATTTCCCCACCACAGCTCACAGGTCTGTAATTCCCTGGTTTCCTTCTGTCATCTTTTTTAAAGAGCAGAGTTACATGAACAAATTTCCAATTCAGAGGTACAACTGCTGAATCCAGGGAACTCTGAAAGATTATGGTTCAGACATCAACAATGTGTTCTCCTACCTCCTTTAACATTTGTGGATGGAAACCATTGGATCCTGGGGATTTGTCACTCCTCAGTTCTATTAATTGCCCCATTTTTGATGATTTACTTAAACTAATTTTTATTTAGACCCTGTCCCTGACTCTCTCAATTTGTTTGGGACTTCTGGCAAGCTACCCTCCATTTCTGTTGTGAACACTGAAGCAAAATAATTGTTCAGCATGTCTGCCATTAACCCATGGTCCTTGACAATATCCCCACGCTCAGCCTACAGTGGGCCATTGGTACTCTTAATCAACCACTTTCCCTTTATACAACTATAAAATCTTATTGTCTTTTCTGTCTCTTGCAAGTTTCCTCTCATAATCCTTTTCAGCCACTCTGACAAGCCACTTTGTGGCCCTCTATTGGTCTTTGCATTTGTCCCATTCTGTGGGACCTGTACTGTTCTGTGTGTTTTTATAAGCCCTAGCTTTTAATTTTATGCTGTCCCTAATCCCCATGGCTGTTTTCTTTTGAGAGACACAGAGCTTTTCCTTCTCATGGATACAAGTTGCTTCTGAATAACGTTAAATGTTTCATTGAACATCCTCTACCGTTCCTCAGCAGTTTTACCTATTGGCGGAGCTTCCAAGTTTACTGTGGACAAACTCTGCCTCATCCCATTAAAGCCTGCATGACTTAAGTCTGTTCTTTGTTTCTTACAAACACTACGTGAGACTCAATCATGACATGATCACTATTTGACAAATGTTCACAAATAACGAGCTCTTTAATAATATCAGGCTAATTATTAGATACAACATCGTTTGGCTCCTTGTTACATCAAAGACACACTGCCATAGGAAACTGTCCTGGACATACTCAAGAAATTGACAATCTTTCTGGCAGATGCTGTCTGTCTCACCCAATCTGTTAAAATTAAAATCTCCCATTCACACTACTGTCTTTGCTACACAATTGCTTAATTTTAGCATTTATACAATTATATACTTCTCAGCTGTTACTGCATGGTCTATATATGACACCTATTGAGGTTTTAATTTCTTTACAGTTCCTCAGTTTTACCCAATAAAAGGTCTTCACTGAGTGCTTTCCCCTCCTTACATTTTCCCCTCACCACTGACGGGATTCCATTTTCTAATCAGTAATGCTACGCCACCCTGTCTGTCATTTTCGCTACTCCTCCCGTAAGACTTATAACCTGGTATCAAAAACAAAATTGCTGGAAAAGCACAGCAAGTCTGGCAGCATTTGAAGGAAAAAAGAGCTAACGTTTCGGGTCCGGTGGCCCTTCCTCAGAACCGTACACATTATCCTGTCCTTCAGCATCTTACTGTTTCTGAGGAAAGGTCATCAGACCCGAAACGTTAACTGTTTTTTCCTTCACAGACGCTGCCAGACCTGCTGAGCTTTTCCAGCAACTTTGTTTTTGTTCCCGATTCACAGAATCCGCAGTTCTTTCAGTTTATAACCCGGTATGTTTAGTTCCCGGTCCTGACCATCCTGCAGCCAAGCCTCTGTAACGGGTATTATATCTTCGTGACTAATTTGAATCCGTGCTTACAGGTCATTTAATTTGTTCCTCAAACTCTGTGCATTTGTATGAAGAACTCTAATTTGGGCTGTACACGTTATCTTGTCCTTCAGCATCTTATTATTTCTCCCTCCTGTCTTACTCGATGCACTTTTTGCAGTCCCACCTTCATTAACCTGGCCCTGCTTGTCCATTGTTAATCTCTACCTTCTTCTCACATGCTGGCCTGCTGCTCCAGTTCCCAATCCGCTGCCGTACGAGTTCAAACCCTTCCAAGTGGCACTAGCAATCTTCCGGCAAGGATACTGGTGCCTCTCGAGTGAAGGCGCAACACATCCTTTTACACAGGTCCCACTTGTCCTCAAAGAGATCCCAACAATCCAGATATCTGAATCCCTCCCTTTTAAATCAGCTCTTTAGCCATGTATTCAGCTGTACTATCTTCCTATTTCTGGCTGCAAAAGCACGTGACACAAGGAGTAATCCTGAGTTACAACCCTAGCAGTCCTGCTTTTTTAAACTTCCTGCCTAACTCCCCAAATTCCTTTTGCAGGACCTCACCCTTTCTGCTCATGTCATTAGTTCCAAAAGGGCCATGACCTCTGGCTGCTCACCCTCCCCTTTCAGACTGTTGTGTGCCTGCTCGGAGACATCCTTGAACGTGGGCACCAGGGAAACAACATACCATCCTGGAGTCTCACATGCAGCCACAAAAACTCCTATCTGCGTCCTGACTATAGAGTCTCCCACTACCACCATGACTAACCTTATCGCACTTTGACCCTCCTTGCTGTAGAACGGACTCATCTGTGGTGCCCCGTTCTAGCTACTGGGTCGCACATTACAGAACATAATGTCGCTAAGTACAACTTGAATGAAGCACAGCCTTGTCGGACTGACCACTCACCAACAGGCTTCACAGCAGCTGTGGACGACAATGAGCACTTTTTTCATAGAAATGACAATACAGTGTGTACACTAAATATTTTAATATTCTCATTTAAACGCAAACGTATAGCCATTTTCCACTGTAGGCGTTTAATACAGATTTAGCCCTGCAAAAGAATGACCAGAAACAGAAAATAGCTATCCAAAGTCAATTAGAATGAAGCTTATGCACGTGTAACTCCTCCTCCTGTACTGTGAAGCTCCCAATTTGTCAATGAGATGGCTGCAGTAAAAGGGGTTCAAGAAGTCAACCCGTCAGACAGAACTATCTTAACTTAGACAAA